CAGGGAGCGCTTTAACAGCCTTTTCGATTGTCAACGTAGCTAGTTGCGTTACGGATACCGATACCGATACCGGCGAATTATTTCAAGTAGCTTTATGTCCCTAGCTACCAAGAAAGTAGCTAAGCTAGTAGCTTAACTACTTGGTAGCTAGCTACTGCCCAGCTCTGGCTCAGAACAAGGATATAACACACTGCATAGGATAGCCTCCAACCACGCTAATATACCAATGATGTCGTAGGCAGCGTGTCGTTTCTCGCCTTGACGTAGCGGTGTTTGGGGTGTTTGCACCACAGTCTATGATTTCGCTGGCTTTTGCTCTATGTATACTTGAGCCGCCTTCCAGCTGAAAACGTGCGTAGGTTTGACACCGCGCGCTTCAAACCTCACAAGCTTGGAGCGCCGATGTCAATTGGAACACGCTTCTGAAATCTCAAATATTTTTCGCATTAAAATTCGGCTCGGAGTTCGGCTTGGCAAAACGCAGTCGGAGCGGATAAAGAGCAGTTTCACAGACACGTGATCAGTGAAAAAAGTAAAATGGTTCAGTCGAACGCATCAAGGGCAAGGCGAGCCGCAGCCCGCGAATGCCACGGGCAAACTTACTATAAAAAAAAAAAAAAATCAACCTTGCGGCACTGCACACCGCTATAAACTGACAAAACCTTGAAAAACGATGCGCCAAAAAGAATTCTCGAACTTATCATTAACTTAACATCTTAACAACAAACTCCAAAAAGTTTTGTGAATGGGCTAATTTGACGATCGACTCATGCGTGACTGCTTTCGACCAATCAAAAATATGATGAGATCACCATCCTGGTAAACAATAATGCTACCAACTATTGCCTAACCCAGTGTTTATTAACTCCCCCTACAGTGCATGCTTGAGAAACACAATCCTCAGTTAACCCAAGCCAAGGTTGAAATTAACACCGGGTTAGTTAACCCCTCGCAATTGAGGAACCGCCCCTTACTTTAGGTGTATTGGGTGTATTCAAGACCATAATCGAATGAAAAGTTATACTTTTATCAGGTTCAACCATCTCGAATTTTATCACATTTTAATTTTTTTAGATTTCATGACATCCCTGTGATATAAGCTTCATTTTGATACCACATTTTTTTAAATCGGACAAAAATTAAAAAAGTTACGGCTAAATAAAATCCAGCGTCACCTTTTTGGTAACACTATTTCTAAATATAGGGCAGGATTTCTAAAAAAATACGCAAACTCAGCTACCCTCTGTATAGTATATTAGGCTTATCTAACTATTTATTTGCGAAATCGAAAACAAAAATCTCGATATTTAGCTTGCAGGGCGCGCTAATACCGATAATGGAAAGGCTTGTTTTATGATTTTCGGACCTACTTTACTGGGTCACCCTGTATTGTTAGAGATTTGGCGCAATGATGAAAAATGCTTATTTTTGCTAGTACTACAATATACCAATTTTTTAAAAAAATCGACCGGTCCCCGAAAACCCATAAGATGTGTGCGATGTCCTTTTACCGCCTTTTGAAAATATAGGAAGTGTGCCTGCCCGCTCCTCGAGCTTCATCTCGCGAGGCGGTGCTTGTAGCGTTAACTCTTTTCACTCTACTTGGCTGTACCCGAACGATGAGGAGCTTGCACTATTCGCTCCCAGTGGCCTGACACCTGAACGATTTTGCAGTGAAAAGTCTCAAAGGAGTTGCCAAGCCGAACTCACCTCATGCTGCGTTCCAAGCCCATTGCAGATACATAATTTTCACGCATTTGTGCACGCAAATGCTCGATTGCGTTGCGTGCATGACACGGCCAGCTGGAAAGCGGCTTTGGTTTTGGTACATTAATTAACATTTTAAAACAACCCTTTTTTAGATCTCGTTTGCATCTTTCGCTTTGCCTATTATACTACGACCGCTGGAGCAAACAGCTGGCGACACAGTTGAGACGTCGGCAACAAAAGCCGCTTTCCAGCTGTGTGCTTCAAGCATGGGGCAGCACAGTGTTCCGTGTTTGAAACGCAAAAGTTAGCAGCTCTCGAAGCGCAGTACGGCTGGAAAACGAACACGCGCTTGAAGCATTTGCGCGCGCAAAAGCTCGATTGTGTGCTCAAAATGGTCAGCTGGAAAGTGGCTAAAGTCGACAACACCATATGACCTTGATTCGGAAAATCGAGACCGATGAGGAAACCTGTAGTAGTGTGTAATATCCTTGAGCTAAGAATTTATTTCACTGCTCGGAACATGGACGCTCGTTTAAATGAGCAGCCTCTCATCCGTATTTTATTTATGCTTGTACTTTATTTATGCAAGAATTTAATCCCTAATGACCATAATCCAATCCACGTGTGGCTAAATTCAGCTGGTGGGGGCACCGTGGTGGAATGGTAGAAAAAGCAGTGTTGTTGAATTAAATAGGGTTTGCCAAGCTGGACTACAGTTACTCTATTACCACAGTGGCGACAACTGCTGTCTTATTTTTGATTGGTTCTAAAATCCCATATATTTATATTGAAAACGACGCCATCTTGTTCCCAACCTTTTGTCACTTTTAAATACGAATATATGGGATTTAGGTGAACATCCATCATAAATGATGGAAAACAACGTATTTGATGGACCTATAATGGTCATGAAATACGTCTATTTCAATTTTTTATGATAGATGTCCATTTAAATCCTATCTTCTATATATATAAAAATTAATGCCACTTTTCGTTGTAATTTAATTTTATAACTCTAAAACGGGCTCACCTAGCCAAACCAAATGTTTAGGCTTTGTTCGGACTATTTATCAGATGGTTTATGTGAAGTTTGCACAAAATCGGTCGAGCGGTTCTTCATTTATCACATTTTTTCATTTTTTTATCTATATATATAAAAATCAAAGTTCACGGGGTATCCGGATATGCGCTCCAAAACCACTTATCCGATTACGATGAAACTTTGGTAGGTTGTTATGGCCATCCCAAGGAACGTTTGTGGATAGGTCACGCATCTCGGAAAAAGAAATTAATTTTGAATTAATTATTAATTTAATTGTAAACAAACTCATTCACATTAGCATGAAACAATATCGTCATGTTTCATTTATTTAGGCTTGCATTCAACCGACGTAACTTTATTATTTTTTGAATTCAAGAACGGCTGGACCGATCTTGCATTAATACCACGTATCTCTATATAAGGTGAATTCGATTGACCCAGATTAGATCGATTTGGGTTCAATTTAAGTGAACTTCTTCTGATCTAGATCATTTTTTTGTTGATGAGGGTGCACTGATCCAGCTTGAATCGAACACAGTGTGGTTCACTTAAATTGAACCAGATCGATCTAATCCGGTCAATCGAATCGGCTATAGGGGAGAGTGATATAGGCTATTTTTTATTCCGAAAAAAAAAGTTCGGTTGCGTAAAACTCTGATACACTGGAACGCCTATATACAGCCCGGGGCGCTCTAGAGCAGCTCTGGAGTGCTTAAAATGCGTCACTGAACTCACTGGCAAGCGACTCTGATATCGGATTTAAAAAAAAATAATTAAATAGAAAATCAACAACAAAATTTGAAAAGAAGTGTATTATTTCAAAATGTATTTACACGCTGGCAACGCAGCGGGTGATTAGCTATAGTTATTCAATAAATGGAGGATCATTTTGTTAATGGGGATTTTGCTGTCAAATTGAAACTTTTTTCAGCGTTGACAGTACCAGCATGTTGTTATGTCATTAATGTCACAGAACATTAATGTGGACATTTCATTACTTATTTTTACAGTGACTCTATAACCCACAGTGGCGACAATTGCTGTCTTATTTTTGATTGGTTCAAAAATCCCATATATTTATATTGAAAATGCCGCCATCTTGTTCCCAACCCCTTGTTACTTTTAAGTATGAATATATGGGATTAAGGTGAACATCCATCAAAATCATGGAAAACAACGTATTTGATGGACCTAATAATGGTCATCAAATACGTCGGTTCCGATTTTTTATGATAGATGTCCATTTAACTCCTATATATTAATATTTTAAAGTAACAAGAGGTTGGGAACAAGATGGCGGCCGGACCTCTATTGTCGCCACTGTATGTAAAGATTTATTTAGCCACTGTACTTATTTTATTTATACGGCGCCATCTCTTATAACCGATACCAAGTTTATTTTGTATTTTGTATACCGCGCCATCTCTGATACCTGGAACGAAGCTCGGCATTGCAGATACAGTAGAACAATGGTGCTCAGGAACTGGAGCTATTTCGAACAGAACTATTCCACTATTCCGATCAGATGGAGTAGTGCAGTGCATGCAGTGCAGATAGAGTGAAACAGGGCTGCGCTAGAGATTTTTTTTCTTTTCTTTACATTCTTTGAACATTCCTGTGCCTGAGTTTATTTATTTGGTGGTACACTTTACAAGATTAATGCACACAAGCTGCCAAAAAAAGGATGATGTAAAATTTTAATTTTAGGTGACTTCTGATCCAGAGAGTAAACATTAATTTTCTTCAACCAAAGCCAAATTCACCATCGAAGAAAACTGAATTTAATTCAGCTAATAGATACGTTAACAAAACATTTAATAGGTGTATTTAATAATTCAGAGGCGGTACGAAGTTCGCCGGGTCAGCTAGTATATTAATATTTAAAAGTAACAAGAGGTTGGGAACAAAATGGCGGCGGGACCTCTATTGTCGCCACTGTATAGCCGCTTTCCAGCTGTGTGCTTCAAGCACATTGCAGCACAGTGTTCTGTGTTTGAAACGCAAAAATTAGCAGCTCTCGAAGCACAGTACGGCTGGAACACGAACATGCGCTTGAAGCATTTGCGCACGCAAAAGTACGATTGCGTGCTCAAAAGCGTCAGCTGGAAAGCGGCTTATGTAGTTGCCACTGTAATGGGACTGATACGTCTGTCGTCTTTGGCCACAATTTTGAGCGCACCCCTTTGACTGACTTCTGACAACTCACTGACTGATAGAATGACATTTGAAAAATGTAAACAAAACAAAACAAACATTAAATTAATTTTTTTGGCAAATTTGCATTTCGGTTTGTTCTAGTCTAGTTATAAAAATTCGTCCAGCGATCCAACCCGACAGTTCAAGAAAAAAAATATGAACTTATTCAATTTTGGAAGTTAAAATAATTATTATCGAAAATGTACAAGATTTCAATGAAATTCGTTTCGGAAAACGTTTACTTGTTCCTGGGAATTATAATAGGTTTGTATGTATCCTCTTTCCTCACCGCAAGCCTAGACATATCATGTAACAACGAGGATAGCGAATATGGGCTGAAAGCGAAGCTAGCCCAAGAAATTATCAACAGTTCCATTAATCGATTGGCCCCGAAAATTTTACCAGCCAAACCTAGAGTTCAAGAAAAATCGGATTTGGTCAGGCCTAGGTATTATTCAACAGAATTGGGTATGAGGGAAAAATTATTTGTGGGTATTTTTACTGCTGAGGAAAAGGTGAATTCTCAGGCTTCATACATCAATAAAACCATAGGGCACCTTGTTGATAAAATTAAATTTTTTATAACGGCTCAGTATAAGTTGAAAACCAAGTTTAATCTTACTGGTAAGTTCCCAATGTTTTGAATTGTTTAAATATACATTCGTATACATTTTGTAGGTCTAGTTGGTTTTACTGATGCAAGGCTCAAATACAGACCTTTTCAAGTCATAAAATATGTAAGTGATACCTTTGGCCAAGATTATGACTACTATTTTTTCACCAGTGATTATACCTACATCAATGCCCACAGGCTTAAAGATATTGTGGATAAAATTAGTGTCAGCGTGGATGTGTATTTGGGAACTAAAGTTGTTGATGGCAGCTTCTGCAATTTAGGTAAGAAAATTTTTTGTTTCTACTCTACTTATTCTGAAAATTATCCCATAAAATTTTAATTATACAATACAGACAGGTAGGTAACCATTTTGGGTAAGTATCAATAGCTCGATCAATAGTGATGTGAGTCGAGAATATTCCCATGCGAACATTGGGAAATTTCCAAGAATATTCGCCGATAAAAAATGGAAATGTTCTCCTGAATGAAAATATTCCCGGAAACTTACAATCAAAAACTCTCAAAAGAATATTTCCGAGAATATTTCCAAGAACTTTCCAGAAGAAGTTTATAAAAATGCGAGATTATTGCGAATAGAAGGTCTCAGGGATGTCATTTCAATTTATGTGGATGATGTAGACTAGTCCAACTGTCTTTATGGAAACGCTGATCCCTCGGCTGATCCTATTTACCCGATTACCAGCTGATGTACCTACAGTTTGTCTTTTTTTTTAAATACTCTTCATTGAAGAAAGATTTAAAAAAAGAGCTGAGAGATTAGGTTATTCGGATCAGCTTTTCCTAGCCTTATTCAACCGTTCATAAAAGTATTTTTATTACATAGTTTAATTTTTAGCTGATCTCTCAAAAAAAATAGGTGTTTTTTTTGGTTTATAGTCAGTACACTACAATAATAGGTAAATAAAGCTTACTACGATTTGTCTGATTCAGCTATAAATTAAAAAAAAAAAAAAACAATATTTCTATAAGTTCCCGAAAGTTTCCAATATTCCCGGAAAGTTTCTGAGAATGTTCGCGGCTTTTGAATGTTTCAGGAATTTTACATCACTAAGTAAGTATCAATAGTTGTAGGTAAGTCTGCATTAGTGATGTAAAATTCCCGATACATTCAAAAGCCGCAAACATTCTCGGAAACTTTCCGGAAATATTGGAAACTTTCGGGAACTTATAGAAATATTGTTTTTTTTTTTTAATTTATAGCTAAATCAGACAAATCGTAGTAAGCTTTATTTATCTATTATTGTAGTTCACTGTCCTCGGTACTGACTATAAACCAAGAAAAACACCTATTTTTTTTCTGTAAGATCAGCTAAAAATTAAACTAAGTAGTAAAAATACTTTTATGCATGGTTGAATAAGGCTTTAAAGAAAAAGCTGATCCGATTAACCCAATATCTTAGCTCTTTATTTTTTATCTTTCTTCAATGAAGAATATTTTTAAAAAAAGACAAACTGTAGGCTGTAGGTACATTAGCTGGTGATCGGGTAAATCGGATCAGCGTTTCCGTAAAGACAGTTGGACTGGGCTAAATAATCCAAATAAATTGAAATGACGTCACTGAGACCTTGTATACGCAATAATCTCGCGTTTTTAAAAAATTCTTCTGGAAAGTTCTTGGAAATATTCTTTTGAGAGTTTTTGATTAAAAGTTTCCATTTTTTATCAGCGAATATTCTTGGAAATTTCTCAATGTTCGCGAATATTCGCATTTCTCATGGGAATATTCTCAACTCACATCACTAGTTTGCATCTTAGAAACAAAAGGTATTGCCTTTTGTTTCTGAGGAACTCTGGGAGCTCCTACCAATTCCAACCTAATAAGCACAGAGAAAAAAAATATATATTTGAAGATAGTTAATATCACAGTTAATATATTTTGGGTATTGATTGGATTTGCTTTAGTAAAATAAGTAGCATAAAGAGTTTTAAGGCATTCAGACACCTCTATGTGAATTTAGCCTTGTGTGATTCATTCATTCAGGTTTGAAAATTTCATAAAGCCATGTTTTTGAAAAAAAATATACAGGGTGTATATTTTAAGTGATACCACTATGGCTATATCCGAAACGGTAAGAGCTACAAGGTCGGTTAAATTAGAAAAAAGTTGCCTTTTTTGATGCTCATTCAAGACTTGTTTACAGTATTGCCAAAGTCCTTTAAGTTTATGAAATACAGGAGGATTTATAAAAAAGGCCTAAAATTATTTCATCAATTATTTTGAAAACTATTGATATTCGGGACACAATTTAAAATTGAAAGTTTTTTAATTTTTTTCGCTCTACAACATGGCATCTTCAAATTTTAAATCCGACGTTTCGTGATCGAGATACCATCATCAACTTCATTTTTTTAAATACGGACCTGGATTTTTTATGTCATTTTTGGAAAGAGAATTGAGGGCGCTTCCTAAAAATGACATAAAAAATCCAGGTCCGTATTTAAAAAAAATGAAGTTGATGATGGTATCTCGATCACGAAACGTCGGATTTAAAATTTGAAGATGCCATGTTGTACAGCGAAAAAAATTATAAAACTTTCAAATTTAAACTGTGTCTCAAAAATCAATAGTTTTCAAAATAAATGATGAAATATTTTTGGACGTTTCTTAGAAATCACCCTGTATTTCATAAACTAAAAGAACTTTGGCAACACTGTAAACGAGTCTTAAATGGGCATCAAACAAGGCAACTTTTTTCTAATTTAACCGACCCTGTAGCTCTTACCGTTTCGGATATAGCAATAGTGGTATCACTTAAAATATACACCCTATAACGCAATTTTAATTCTAATAACATAATTTATCAGTAAACAAGAAATTTAAACTAATAACACATTTATATAATAAAAAAACAATACAAAAATTATTTTTGCTTTTCTGACAATAGTCTCTATTTTATCAGTTAATCCTCGTATTAAACGACAACAAACCTCCATGAGATTTTCAGTAAATAATGTATTTTTTTGAGGATTTACTTTATCTACCTAAATATGTTTACTTTAAAAATGTTTGGATAAGGTCTTTAAAAATAATGTAGTTTTAAGAGCTATTCTTTTGAGCATACATACTCATAACCTTTTTTTCTATAATAGATAGAAAGCTGAAATTTCCAGCTATTCTCATCCGAGGACTATAATCGCTGAAAATTTCAGCTCATTTGGACTTATAGTTCCAGAAATAAAATCGTATTGAGCAATGTGGGGTGAATTCTTCAATTTTTCAATTTCCTGTTGTCCTTTTTTTCAAAGATTTCGGCTTCAAATCTCAGAATAATTTCGGGTATGGAGTTTGGAGGGTCCCAAGTGATCATTTAAACACAAAATTTTAACATAAAAAAATTCATTTTTGCTTATACAGGTACTTTTTTCCACATTTTTCATTCTTTAACCTAAACCATTTCTGTTTAATGTAGCTCCCAAGTATGTATGTGAACTGCTGGAACTTCGAAACGCATAAACAAATTTTTTGCTTATTTTGCATTTTTCAATAATAATAATAATAATTCCGAGAATAATTCTTTATTAACGGACCAACCAGTATAACACTATAAATTCTGGAATACTTAGCAATAAGTACTGTTAGAAAAATTTAAATTAAATTAACAATTAATTAATAAAATCTAAGTAATATCTAATAGCTAAAAACTCGGCTAAAAACTAAAAATCCTGTCGTATCATGCTCTTTAACCCCTTGAAAGATAGATTAAAGAGATCTACCTCTCTTGGAAGTTGATTGGCATCTCTGCAGATTCTTGATACAGGACTGAAATAGCCATAATTGGTCCTGTGATATATTATCTTGAACAATTCATTCTCATTCTGTCTTGTAAATCTAGCAGGTTCATGAAGATTTATACTTTTCAGCAGAGGAGGACAATCAATTGAATTATTTACAATTTTATACAGAAAACATGCCAAAATTTCTCCTGCAAATTTCTAAGTGAAGTAATACATATAATTCATCAAAGTTAATATTTTCAAACAGAATTCCTAGCCCTAGCCTATAGCCTATATGTCTAAGAAATCGTCTTTGAACCCTTTCCAACATACTTATAGAAACCTGGTAGCGGGATCAGACAGGACAAGCATATTCAATTATGGATCTTACTACTGAACAATAAACAGTTTTATTGCAAAAATATTGTTAAAATCTTTCAAAGTGCGGACTACAAAGCCAAGGAGTTTTAAGGCTCTGTTGCAAATATTTTTGATATGTTGAAACCGGTCTATAAAATTTCAAGTCATCCACGTATATTAATACAAGACTGTAAAGATGAAGTCCAAAACATCATTTATGCTATAGCAATGGAACAATAAAGGTGACAGATGTCTCCCCTGTGGAACTCCAGACAAAACATAAATTGGGGACGAAATGAAATTCTTTACTTTTACCGAGGGGTTAATCACTCCCCGAAATCGTGTCATTAATTCGTCCGAAATCCCCGAAATCTTTCCGAAATCCTCGAAATCCACGAAGTCACTTCGAAATCCGCCGAAATCCCTCCGAAATCTCTCAGAAATCTTTCCGCCTCGCTTTCCGCAGACCCATAAATCCCTCGCAATTGGCCCAAAATTCATAAATCGGTCAACGCGGCCGTTTTTCAGTTTATACCAATACACTTTCGAATATATTTATAAGATAAGTAACAGTCTAAAAAAAAATCAAATTAAAATATTTGTGAAATCACCTAAAATTCTCCAAAATCACCCGAAATCCTTCGAAATCAACCGAAATCCCTCAAAATCGCTCTAAATGTGAAATCTTGTCACAGTGAATAATCCCTCGAAATTTTTCCGAAATCCTACTGAAATCCTTCAAAATCACCCCAAATCCCTCAAAATCGCTCTAAATCCGAAATCTTGTCACATTTTTCCCTCAGTGAATAACCCCCCGGGTCCAAGTGGTAAAAATCGAGATATCAATATTGTCAACTACTTAAGTAAATACCACTCTGTATAGTTTATTCAGATATATAAGAAAAGTCGTAAAATGCAATAAATCATCTGCCTCTTTGTTGGGCCACGTGCTTACACCCCTTATATTGATAAAAGCAACAGGAAAAATAATTTATGGCAGCCCCGTTCAGGATCGCATTTGATTTCGTTTTGAATATGGCAATATTAATTCAGATTTTTTTGTTTTTTCTAATAAGGAATAGTGTTAAAACAAGTTTGCAGATTTCTAGTGACAGTAAGTTAGTAAATAATAATAACCGGCATCGGCAGGCGAAATTCCGACGGAAACGTAGGTACAGTCCGTTT